ACCTTCATGTACTACATTTAATGTACAAAATTCTCGATTGACTAATACAAGTCAAGCATCTAATAATCAACAAAATTCTCATGTTTCTACACAAAAATCTAGTCAAGTGCGACTTACAAATGCTTGTGTTACTACGAATGTGCGCCAAAATTTAAATAAAATATCTCAAAATGCTCATGTTCAAAAATCTTTATCAAACAATTTAACTATACAAAATGAACATAACATGACAAAAAATAATCAGAGCCATCAGCAAGGAAATCAACAAGAGTCAATAACATTGCAGCAAGAAACTCCAATATATCAACATAATCAACATCAACAAATAACAGCACAGACTGTGCAAACTCAGAATGTCCAACAGGTTTTTGAGCAAAATCTTCAAACTTCTGGATCTCAGCATAACTCTTTAAATATGTTACAACAACAAAGTTCTTGCAATACTATGCAACATGATGCTATGAATGTTTTACAACAACATTCTAGTATTCAACAAAATACAATTAATGTTTTACAGCAAAATGCAGCTAGTAATGTACAAAATATTGAACAAAATTTGCAGACTGGTATTGGTGATTTAACTCATACACAACAAAATGTTATTACAAGTATGCAACAGCAAAATACATCTGCTATTTTACATAATACAAGTGTACAACAAAATGTAAATGTACAACAACAAAAAGTTGTTGCAGCAAACACGTTTTCTTCTGTAAATACACATCATTTTGAATCCCAAAATACAGTTAATGCTATACAACCAGGATTAAATACACAAAATAATCAACATCAAAATATTGTTATCACAAATGCTTCTCCTGTAAATACTATGCAACAAAATGAATCTCAAAAAATAGAAACCCAAACTACAACAATGCTTAATTCAGCAGCAAATAATATATTGAATAATGCTCCAAAAATTACTCCTGAAATTTTAAATGCATTGAGTAATTTGAATCCTAATGATCAATTATTAATTGCAAATGCAAATGGGCAAATGCAAGTAATTAGTCAACAGCTATTGCAACAACTTTTAGCAGGACAATTAAATACAAGTAATCAGGTACAAAATCAAAACCAAACTCAAAAAATAGTGATTGGTGAACCAGATACAAATAATCAGAATTTACAAGGAGTGCAAATTAATACGCCAACAAGTCAAATAATTGTAAATAGTTCTGGTGGAGCTCCTACAATTCAAAATAATATACAGAATATTGTAGTACAAGCTGCACCTTCTCAAATGCCACAGCATATACAAATTCAAAATTCTAATTTTCCTAGTCAATTTATTGATAATCTAAATCAACAACAAATCAGAAATTTAGGTAATCAACCAAAGAAGGCAAAAATTATTAAAAGAACAAAAACTGCAGTTACTACTCAAAATACTGGAAATACACAGGTACGTGTAGATTCCTTTCTTGTTTTTCTATCTACTGTTTCTTTTATTGTTAATTTATTGTAATAACAGGTAACGAAAACAATTACGGTTTCTCGTCCAACAATGATATCAACGAATCCAAGTAATCTTCAAAAAATTGACAATTCTAATAAATTAAACACTATAGTATCTCAAAGTACAAATCCAATTAAAAGTGAATCTTCTCAAATTGTTACAAACGGTCCTATGCTTCCAACATCTCTTGGAAATCATTTATCAATTCCTTCAAATGGTCAAATGGTTCAAAGAGTACAGACGATTCAACTTCCTGCTCAAAAACAACAATTATTAAAGAATATACAATCTCAAATACAAGCTATATTAACTCGTAAATCAGGTGCACAACCAGATCAAACTATTTTAACAAAGTTATATCAAGAACAAGCAAAAATTTTAGCAAGTGGAAAAGTTGTCAGTACTACAACACATTCCGTTAGTAGTGTAAGTTTTATTATACTTATTATATTTATTAAATATATATTATATTTATTAAAATAAAAGTTTTAATTAATTTATGATATAAGATAGCATTAAAAAATATTCAATGCTATATAATTTTTATATAGGCTACAGAAACAAGTTTTAGTGTGAATGCAGTTTCAACAATAGCATCAAATTTAATATCCCAGAATTCTTATAAGAATCAAACATCAGCTGTGCAAACTCAAACACAAACATCTACTACTGTAGTAACTTCACAAAATTTAAATCCAAGTACATCATCAACGGTACAAAATAATTCATCTAATAATTATATGAACAATCTTTCGGTATACATATAATTTCTTATATTATAATTATATATTCATTTATATTTCCATTTATTTAATTATTTAATAAAATTTTTAGATATCACAAAATGTGCAAGGACAACAATGTGTACAAAATAATCAAAGTGTACATCAAACGCACACAAAACAGCACAAGATTTATCAGAATCATGGAACTCAGATATTAAGTCCGTCCTCTGCCAATATGCAAATTTTTTCACCATCAATCACTTCTGTAGCTACTGTGCAGAGTAACGCACAACAATTAACTTCAATCCAAACTCAACAAACAGGAATGCAACAATCAACTCAATGTCAAACAGATCCATTAGATATAAAACCAAATATGCAAATATCAAGTCCTGTTAAACAAGAACTTTCTTCGCCTATTCAAATACAAGTTCAAAGTGGCTCTCCTGCAGGACAGGTAGCCTCACCTAGAATGATTGGCAAAGGATCACAAAGAATTCAAAGTCCTGTAAATAACAGTGGTAATTCTAATAAGCAAACTGTTAGTCCCACTAATAATTCAAGTCCTTTAGTAAGTCCGAGACAAGGTGTGAAAAGACCTGCTTCTAGCCCAATTTGCAGACAAATTAACCGTAGTGACTTGTGAGTATAAATTTTTATACTATATAATGTAATTTTTATATTAAAATCTTTAATTTTATATTTTTTATTATATTTTTATTTTTTATATTTACAGATTAGAGCAACAATTGAAAATTGATCAAAATGGTGCGATAAATCCAGATGTAAACACGCCATTTTTAAGCAAGCGTGATGCTTGTAAACGACTTGTACGATATCATTGTTTAAATGAACAAGTACTTAGTTCTAAGGATTTAGCAAAAGCTGATGAAATGTTTGAAGAAACAGCAAAACATCTATTATCAAAATTCAATTCTATGATGAATAAATATACGTATCTTCTTTTAATGGAAAGCATGGTATGTTAAAATATTCTTTCAATTTTTTATCTTTCTATTTAATTATAATTAATATTCAATATAATATATATTATGAAATTGTGTATATGAATCAATTAATTTAAATTTATAGCGAGAAGTTAGAACGTCAGAATTGATGATGATTGATAGAACTTTTGTTGCTGAAGAGCAAAGTATATTAAATAGGTTACGAGAACAAGAGGCTAAAGTTAATGGTAAAATTGACATATCAATAAATAAATTCTTCTGATATATTATTTATTTATCATAATAATCTTTTTGTTAAATTTTTAATTTGTAGAAGAATTTAAAAAAGAAGAAAAGCCATTGGTGCCAAAGGTTGAACCTGGTCTTACAGAAGAAGATAAATTATCACCATCATTAACTAATGTATCTGTAAAACGTGAATTAGAAGATGACTTTCTAAGTGATGAAATGGAATGTAAACCAGTGATTAAATCAGCAAATTGTACTAGTGGTGATTATGATGAGTGGGTAGAAATACAAAAAGAACTTGGTGTATATCCATCTACCACAGACTCGTTTAAATGTAAAAATATTAATAATAGTGGTAGTAATAGTGCTTGTGCTGTGGCTGTTACAAGATCATCCAAAACTGAAAGAACACGAGCAAATGGTGAATGTCGTATAACGATACCAAGTGCAAGTGTTTCTGGAATTCAAAATACAGTCATAAAAGACAATTGCGAACAAGATAATACTCCAGTTTTTGAAAAACGTTGGAGTAGTGCTACTGATCTTGAACGAGATTTATTAGAAGATACAGACAGCTTAGATGGACTGGCCTTACATTCTCAAACTCAATGTCCAAGCTCTCTTCATGTAACAACTGAGAGTGGAAATGATAATGAACATGATGATATTACCGCACAGGTACAATCTGCCATTGATAGCATTCTTAATCTTAAAAAACGTCCTACAAATACATTACCTGGCAGTAGTGGTAACAGTGCATCACAATCCAGTGAATCAAAAGACACAGTGCTTGATCAAGCAGTCCGCAGCATTTTAGGCTCGTGACCCTCCTTTAATAAAGTATGTTAAACAAGTGAAGTTAATGGTGAACATCATGCTAATTGTTCTTTTAAAAATTTTTAAAAGAGTTATACATTTTTTTTTCTTTTTTTTGGTGATTTTTTTGTGGTTATGTGAATAATATAAAAACTATGTTTGATATTAAGAATGCAACATTATCTTTGGTAATGCATATTTGAAATTCTGCAAAATTGTTGCTAAATTATTTGTACAAATCCTATAATCTTAATTTCATTTATATATAAATTAAAATGACTATCTGGATTATGCAAGTTTATATACTTCTCTACAAAATTTATTGAAAATTTTTTTCTGCAATGGCAATAATTATTCATAACAATATAACAAGTATACTTTCCAATAGTCTAGTTATAATAAAGCCATCGCGTTTACCTAAATCTAGCAGCTGTACATGTGGATAAATAGATAAATAGATTGATAGATAGATAAATAGATAGTAAAATAAATAGATAGTATGCTCAGATTTTTCAATCTGCCACTTTGTAATGTAATTTTGTAAAAAAGTAATTATTTAAAACAACTTATTCCACTTTGTCTGTAGTACTTGTAGAGAAATCTTACAGATACTTAAAACTGGGTCGGTGAATTGTACATACATTTTTAACCTGTATTAATATTATTATTATTACTATTATTTGTATTATTGTTATTGAGATTCGTTCTCGAAATTATCATTGTATTATTATTATTATTGTATTATTAATTATTAATTATTAATTATTAATTATTATTATTATTATTATTATTATTATTATTATTAATATTATTATTAATATTATTAATATTATTATTATTATTATCATTATTATTATTATTATCATTATCATCATCATCATCATCATCAATAGCAACATCAGCATCAGTATCATCATCATCATCATCAATAGCAACAACATCAGCATCAGCATCAGTATTATCACTATTACCACTATCACCATCATTACTACCATCATTATCATCTTCATCATTATTATTACCATTATCATTATTACATATTCTTATTATTATAACATTATATTATCATTATTACATATATTCTTATTATTATTATTATTATTATTATTATAACATTATATTATCATTATTACATATATTCTTATTATTATTATTATTATTATTATTATATTATTATTATTATTATTATTATTATTATTATTATTATTATTATTATTTATTATTATTATTATTATTATTATTATTA